ACATACTTCAAGAAGTTCAACAGTTAAAAGTTAAGTAGCGATTGTGCTTAAAACTTGATTTGCTGGGCAACTTTCTTACTCTCCTGGGAGGATTTCCCCCACAGTTTTTGGGTCAAAAAGTTCCGAGCCTGAATCCTTCTTTGGACATACATATATAATATAAATATAATTTGTTGCCAAAGTTACTCCACGATATAGTTTTTTATTTATTTATTTCTGCTAGTATATGACGAAATATCAGTTGAAATCCTTGTAAAAATAAGACATGTTTCAATACCTGCCGAGTAAAGCTGTGTGGGTTTAGAATAAAATAATAAAAGATCATCTGACTCGTTTCAATTTGAATTCTTTCTCTGCAGAGCTACTGCTTCAGAATATATTATTCCATACCATAAGTTCCTGAAGAGCCTCAATCATCCAGTCTGTATTGGAGCAAGGATCAACTTTCAGTGCCATAATGAAGATGTTAGTGAAAGGTCTGTTTCTTCTCAATTCAACTTTATTTTTGTTGTATGCATTTGTTTCCTGTTTCTTATGTTTTATGTTTTTTAGGCGATCTGGAATGGTTGTTCGCATTAGTGAAATAGATCCCATGAAATGGCCTGGCTCGAAGTGGAGAAGCCTGCTGGTATGCATTTCAGCTTATTTTGTTAAGCTCTAGTCTGAATGTTATCATTGCCAGCTTCCTGGTCTCCTGGGAAGCTTTTGTAGATGTATATTCTTTTGGAGATTGTTTGGATTCTGGTAAAAAATGTTGTTTTAGTGCAGTCTTGTGTTAAGGGAGTTAAGGAAGGAGAATGCTAACCAATAAACATTCCTATAGCCTGTTGCCTGCCCAACACCTTAGGGCCCTGACCAATAAAGCAGGGACTTGGCATATAACCCCTTACCCCTACCACAAGAGAAATGCAACATCAGAGACAATACTAGTCTCATGCTGTTGTTAACTTGTTATTATTTGCTTTATGATGGTTATATTTGACCTGTTGGAAATAATCTTGCATGATGCATGCTGTGCTAACTCTTCAATTCTTTGTACCAAGGTAAAGTCACAAAATACACTGTAACCCTAACTGTAGCAATCTTATAAGGAGATTTGAATCATACCACCAGCCTGAGCGTCCAAATTTCTTGATCTTGCAAGACCCTGGGCAAGCTTTATGAGGGCTTCTCATACTGAAAATTTTGCTACCACGTGATATTCTTAGTAACTTAGAATTGTTTTATGTTTTGACCTTCAGTTCAAGTATTTCTTGACAATCAAATTATAATGATGAAGATGTCTACTATTTTGCAAGAACTGATGGACTTGTTTTCCTTTGGATGAGAAATATTATGTGCCATATCACTTATGATAATCAAATTATAACTATCCGTTCATAATGAACTGCACTATTAATATCTGGTTGCTAAAGTGTTGCCTTTTTATATAGGTAAGATGGGAGGATGGTGCTGAATGTAACGGCCAAGATAGAGTATCTCCATGGGAGATCGAGATAGCTGGTGGTTCTGTCTCTGTTGCTCATTCTCTGTCCGCATCTAGTTCTAAAAGAACCAAGTTGTGTGCTCAGGGAAATTTGGACGTTCCAACAATGTGTAAGCTCTCATAGCACAAGACTAATGCCTGTACATATGTATGCTATCCTTTAACCTATTTGCTAATTGACTGTCGCATTAGATGTTACAGGGAATGGTTGTACTGACTCCATGGAAACTGGAAAGTTACCCAGGGTCTTGCAAGGTCAAGAATTGATGGGTTTTAGGACTCGTCATGTTCCGTGTGCTCCTCAAACTGCTGAGGCTGCAAAACTTCAATCTTCTGATGCTAGTAGGTTCCTTGGTAATGCACGTGGCTGCGCATTGAGTGGTCCAACAAGCAGACTCGCAGTGCATAACTCTGGTTTTACCTACCAATCTGTAGGCTTCAATGAATCTATTGGATTCTCAGAGGTCTTGCAAGGTCAAGAAATTTCTCGGGCAGTTCCTGTGTTCCAAGGAATGATGTCTGAGGCTTGTTCACTGAAAGGCGGATATGGGCTGCTTAGTTATATGCATACCCCAGTTGCTGTTAATGGATTATCAGCCACAGCTCAAGAATGTTGTCTCACACTATCTACTCCGCCAGGAGCACAAGTGCCCTCTCTCAACCCTGATAATATTTTTAACCGAATTGTGGTTCCACAGCTTGGACTGGCAAGCAAGTTTGGTGGAGGTACAAATGGCCAGCAGTCTGGCCCATTTGATAGGACGAGGGAAATTTGGACCAGGCCACAGCATGAAACACCTGATCAAATGAACTTGGATCAGTTTGAGACTAGAAGAGCTTCAGCACCTGGAGATGCTGCTAAGCTTGGGTCTGGTGGAGGGGAGGTTCGCAAAACTAGCTGCAGACTTTTTGGTTTCTCCTTGACTGAGAAGATCTTGCCAGCAGATGATGATGATGGCGTCAAGGAAGTGGGCTATGAGCCTGAGTGCCAGAACCCACGGATGCTGGACCTGTTTGGGTACAACTGCTCAACTCCGAGTGCTGCTCTGCCAGCTCTGTGTGCTGCCCCCATTGGAATGTGATGCTACTTCAATAACGTTGCCGAGTATTTCCATGTACTCTTAGAAGTTTTTCTTTCCCAGTACCCCAGTGTACGTCATAAGCTGGCTTTTGACATCATTCCCTCTATTGGTCTGCCTCAAGCTAAGCAATCATTTGCACAAGTAAACGAAGGATCGTTGGTGAACCACCCCTCGCCAGGCCTCACCCTGTCACGCAAGCTATTGTGGTTAGTCTCAGGATACCCAGAGACACTACATTGTAACTTCTGTGGCTGATCCTTCAGAACTGTTGTGCGATGAAGCTAATAATTTGCTCTAAAAGTACTTGGCTCGCAGATTTTAGATTCACGGGAAGGTTTGCCAGCTTTAATGTACCGGCTATGTATCTTTAAATCAGCTCCTGTATGACTTTTTTTAGCTCTCACAAGCCTTGGTTGCAGTCGCCCAGTCGCCTAGGCCGTGTGATTGTATCAGCATGTAAGGCAAATGCTATGTTTTAAGCTCTGTTGCTTATGGATCTTTTTTCTGGTGGATTGTGTGAATACTCTGTTCTTCATCTCATGCAAGTCACGTCTTCTGTTGGCTTGGTAGGAGATACTCTGATTTTGCAAACATAAGTCATTTAGATTTTTATTGGTCAATTCAACTTTGATCATCAATATACAAGGAATTCGACAGAGTGGATTATGAAGTTTTGAGATTTTGGAAATACACTCAACGAATGATCCCGCGGTGTCACCGGAGCATTGATTGGAGTTTCAACGGCTAGTTTGCGATGGCATAATTATTGGTACTACTAAGCAGGGTACTGTGCAATTGTCTGATGTTCACATTTTTTTTCTAACCGCTAGATCATACGTTGTTAAGAATAAATCCAGGAATTGTTGAATTCAATCTTTCTTAAGTCGTTATGTATAACCTTTGGGCTTCTTTGAGCTATCTAGTGCAAGAATTTCCTTACTTCTGTTGAACTTCTGGGCTTCTTTGAGCTATCTGGTGCAAGAATTTCACAAATGAGTATCTTATCAAGTCTATGCTCGACTACAAACTTTTACCTCCTCTTTATAGTATGGTCAAAAGATAAAAAACTACTCCCTTCATTTCAAATTATAAGTTGTTCTAATTTTTTTAAAAACTTTTGATGTGTACCTAGATATACATTATGTCTGGATACATAGCATGTATTTTGAAAAGTTAAAACGACTTATAATTTGGGATATAAAGAGTAATTAAAAAAAGGACGGAAAGCTAGAACCTATACTACTCTAAGTGTCCTTCATCTCCTTGTGTCATTTAGATCCAGAAGATTCTTAGTCCTGACAACCATATACTTTGATCTCTCGTTAAAATTAGGGACCAAGAATGCCCTAAGTTATTGTGACTTAACGTTCAATGTCCTTTCAAACAACTTTGCTAGTTGTAATGATACAATTTTGATTAATCGCTAAAATACTTACCACTTATCTAAGGACCTAGAATGCTTACAAAGTGCATTGGCAAAACAAGTCCACACCAAGGCCTACAGGCTACAGGAGTGGTAGGTACTAGTATCCCCATATATCTAGTAGAACCACTTGACCGCTAATAGTGTCGTCATTCGTCAAAGAGAATTTCCCCCAAGGCTTGTCTACTTTTGGGGATTTATCTATAAATACCCTTATACTCGATGATTTTCTGTCGTTAAAGCTTAAGGGAGTATCATCATACATATTTGAGAACTTCAGCCACCTAAGTGTTGATATCGAAGATTAGGATAGGTTGTGTAATATTGTGGACTTAGAGGATGTTTGGTTTCCCGCCGTAGATTGCCAACGTCTAAGGTGTGGCACGCCATGCGATAAAATGCTAATGTTTGGTTCAAGCAAAGCTGCAAAAGCCACAATTCTTTTTCACAAAACACAACTTACACATTGAGAAACAAAAACTATCAGATCTTGTTAAGGGATAAATAGGACCAACTAAATAATTGGTAGGGAGTATCTCAAAACAAACATTAGTTTATTCTTGTCAACGTTGGAGGGAGGGTATAGGTGATCTAATTCATAAAAAGGAAGGAAATAAAATTCAAGATAAAAGAGGAATCATTAATAATTGCAGCATAACCATGCATGATCTTGGTAATGAAAGGATTGTGAACACATATACACGCGTTTTTCCGGTCAAATGCCTAAATGCGTAAAGATGAAGGAAATGAAAGCCAGAACATGATGAGGAGTAAACATAGCATAATTGTGGGGGAAGACCATGTAAGGTTGAGGAAGGGATAGTGAACATAAAAGCCAAAAGGTCGACAAAGGAAATCATGCTTGATTGTGTTGTGATTGACACATGCATAGGGATGACACACAAGGGTGGTAAAGTAGTGGCTTGCAGGCTATTACCATTGCGTTTACTAGATTACACTGAAGAACAGCGTGGATTCTGAATAGTCCGTTTTTTCTGTCCTAAGAAAATCAAGGGTAGACCTCGATCACAGACCGGATCCCGAGGAGGGCAACGATTTTGTGGCCGCTGAAGCCTGCATCCTGGAAGATCTTGCGCCACTCACGTTCGTCCCGCTCGGGGCTCCCGACCACCCCCATCATCATCACGTCCCACAGCAGCTGCGTCTCGGTGGCCTTCTCGTCAGCCGGGCTCGATCCAACAACCAGGTCCATCACGATCACCCTGCCGCCGTCCTCCCTCGAAGGGATCGCCTCCCTGCACCGCCGCAGTAAACGCACGCAGTTCTCGTCGTCCCATCCATGCAGGATCCACTGCACAAGTACACAGCAACCGCGCGCAACGTCATTCATCAGTTTCACAAGGCAAAGGAGATGGTTGGATGTGCGCGCCACTGCGCCAGACCTTGAGGAGGACGGCGTCGGCCTTGGGGACATGCTCGAACATGTCCCCGGCGACGAACTCCACGCCGCCGAGTTCGCCTGTCGGGACGGCGGCAACCACGTGCGGCAGCTCCAGGACGCTGCACCTGATGTGCGGGAACGCGGTGGCGATGGCCCTGGCGGCGCCGCCTGACCCGCCGCCCACGTCGACCAGCGAAGCGAGGCCCCGGAACACGTCGCTGTGGTCGCGCACGAGCACGTCCATCACGAACCGGCCGTCGCACGCCATGGCGTCGTGGAACGCCGCTCCGAACTCCCGGTCGTCCTTCGTCACCGCCCAGAGGTCGCGCCCGTGCGCGGACTCGAACGGGACGCGCGCCGCGGCGTTGACGGCGTCCGCGGCGCGGAACCAGGACGCCAGGGACATGGACGGCGACACGATGACGGGGTGCAGCATGGCCAGCGCGAACGGCGAGAGGCCCTGCCCACCGCCACCGCCGCCGAGCGTGGCCGTGGAGACTAGGAGGCGCGAGAGCGGGGTCAGCCCATAGCTGGCGGCGTCGGCGTCGAAGACAAAGAACCCGGCGTGTGCAAGCAGCCGCATGAGGCGGCGCAGATACGGCGCCCTGGGCAGCGGCAGGGAGAGCGCCGCGACAAGCTCCGGGACCGATGCGGCGCCACCGAGGCGGCTGACGGCGTCGGGGATGCCCAGCTCGACGGCGCATCGGAGGGCCATGGATCTGGTGTACGCAAAGACGTGGTTCCAGAGCTCGGCCTGCGCCTGCATGAGTTCGTCGCCGGTGGTGAGGCCCCTGTCGCGGCTGGTGTCCATGGCTTTTGCTCTCTAACTTGGAGATATGGTGCAGTTTGCAACTTGCAAGAACTAGCTTTGTAGGAGTATTTGGGTTTGAGGTCAACAGAAACGTTGTCCAAGTATTTTATCGTAGTGTCACGTTTGTACTCGTTGAAACGTTGCTAGATTCTCCCTCTGCTCCTCGCAGACGTTCCACGGAATACGAAGAATGATGGTTGTCGTTTTCCTATTGCAAATGCTAGTAGAAGTAATCAGTAGCCAGCGGAACCAGCTCGCACTTTAATTTATTACTAATACCATCTAGTTATATGCAGATTGTAATGTGGTAGATCTTTTTCAATATGCAATCGGGTCAAAACTAAGAGAGCGACTGGTAGTGGTAGGTGTACGTGCTATGCGTAAGTTCCATATTGGAGTTTGTATGTATCACACAGGCAGACAGGCAGTGCCGGTCCTAACATTTTAAGGGCATCTGACGATCTCGTCGTAACGAGGCATCTTGACCATATATAAAATCTTATAATATATAAATATTAATTTTATTTATAAAATGAAAGCAAATTCAATAACATATTTTTAATTTAACATATCTGATAATTATTGAGGAACAATATAGATTAAGCAATATATTTATAGATATATGATAATTATCGAGAAACCATGTAGATTAAAAAAATAATATATTCGTTTTTTTTCTCACTTATAACAAATATTTCTTAGGTAACATTCTAAAATTCTAATACCTAAATTAAAAGAAAAATATGACTATATGGGTATACAGTACTAAAGTTTGGAATACTATACAAATAATTAATTTGAATTAAAAATAAAAAGGAAAAAATACATTGGACCTAAACAACTGATCGGTGATCGTAATTCATAAGAAGCCAAGAATCAAGATGTCGTCGTCATGGAGCCCTGCCTGGTTACCGTCCTCGTGTGCCGTGTCCGTGTCTCCGGTAGTCTAGCTCTTCGCGACGGCATAGCTCGCCAGCTCCGCGTGTGTAAGGCGCACGTCGCGAACTCACGATCAGAGTATGCTGTGTGCAACGTGACTTCTCGCCTCCTCTCTACCCGAGGGCCGTGGGGAAAGGAAACTAGAAAAGAAATGCCGATGTTGTCTTTTTGGACCGTCTGGCCAGTTCTATCTTTCTTTTCATTAGTTTACTAATATCTAATGGACTATAGAATTTGAGGGTTTGTATATCTAGGCTTAGATCCCTTCTCCGCTTGAGTCCTCAGCTGTCGCACCTCGTGCCCTACCCTGGGGCGGCACTGCAGACAGGCCATGCGTAAGTTCCATACAGACGCACGGATGAAGTGAGCTTGATTAATTTCCTCGGGCATTACGGTTGAACCCGTTACTGGATCTATTTCGATTCCATTGTCTGAACTTAACTCTAAACTTTAGTCCATTTTATATTAGAGTTTTACATCTTAATGTAAAAAAAAGAGTTTTACATCTTAAAACTGAGCTAAAGTGCTTTCAAAATCTAAAGTTTGAGCTAAAGTGCTTTCAAAATCTAAAGTTTACTGTGAGGGATCCAAACATGCCGTCATTCTTTGGCGACATGTGAGACACCCACGATGAATGTATAAGCGCCCGCACTGCAAAATGGAAACAGGGTATCGGTGACAAACTAAGGTTACTTTTCTAGCTTCTGTTCTATTCAATTGTTTGGTAGGGATATGATTCTTATAAAAATGAGAATATTTTGGATGATGGATCGAAATTATTTTATGCGATCGTTTGGCCAATACATTAGAAAGTACTCTCTCCGTTTCATTATATTTGCACGTCTAGAATTATGCACGTATACCAATATTATGTGTAAAAGTACATCCTATCACCCGCGGACCCGCACCTCTTCACGCACGCCTATTGTGCGGTACAGGCAAGGGAAATGGAGAGAACACGGGGGCCTTGGTATGACCAAACGAGTGGTCCAAAGGCTTCCATGTACTCCCTGTCATTTTTCCTTTTTTTCTATGTCCATTATTTTATTTTGTTGCTGATCCTTGCAGCTAGTCAGCTGGCAGCTTTAGGCTGCTACAGACCCTACTAGACCCTATAGTGACCTTCTATTGTGGGAAAAAATTTGAAACATAGAAGTGCGTTTAATTCGGGACGAGGGAGTATATCTTTTCTTAAAAAATATATAAATAAAAATATGCTTAAAATTCTGAATTTTTGTGTGCACTGAACAACTTAAATGTAATCAATTTAAATTTAGTACACTAAAATTTAATTGCTAGCATAGAAGGGAGGAAGAAACGGAATTAGGCGAAACCACCTCCCACCTTTTTGCAGATGCATGTACAGATGAAGAAACGGGACTTAGGTTTAGGTGCATCTACGGCCTGTTTGTTTCGACTTATACGATCGTGTATTATAAGCTAAAATAGTATTTTTCTTTCATACCAAACCAGTCAGTAGTACTTATGGCTTATAATTCATAATCGTTTCAATCGAAACGAACAAGCTACTAAACTAATATTGTTTTTCAAAAGATCCATTGATGTTTGCAACGTGCAAGAAAACCTGTGTCAGAGGGTGTTTGGACGTAGGTGCTAAAGTCTAAGAGGTGTCACATCAGATATCACATGGGGTGTCGCATGGAGTGTTCGAATATTAATAAAAAATAAATTATAAAATCTATCAGTAATGCGAGACGAATTTATTAAGCATAATTAATCCGGCATTAGCACATATTTACTATAGCACAACGTTATCAAATCATGGACTAATTAGGCTTAATAAATTCGTCTCGCAAATTAATCTTAATCTATGTATTTAGTTTTATAATTAGTCTATGTTTAATACTCCATGCATATATTAAGTATCCGATGGGACAACGACTAAAGTTTAGGAGTGGAACCAAACACCCACTAACAAATGTATTCAATTTCTCTAGAAGGGGCAAAATGGAACTTCGTGGTTCTGTAGGGACGTGTTTAGAATTATTTCCAAGATAAACGACCACACTTGATAGTCAAACATAGTTTGAGGTGAAATCTCACCTGCGAGACCGCGACGACAAATTTCCGGCGATGTCGGCGGCGCCGGCTGCTAGCCCATGGTTATGGCCGTCTCCAACTGTGCGGCTCCGCGAAACGGCCTTCTTGGCCTGTAGCATCAGCTCCACCCCTACGCGGCTCTGCATCGGACGACGCTGCTCGGATAGAACTTTGTGAGCCCCCTTATCTCGCCTAAAATCTTCGATTTCTTGACCCATTTGCTCGAGGTCACGCATGAGTTGACCGATAATGATTCTACTTCGTAGATTTGGTTGTGCCTTTGCCCCGTTCTCTCTTGCCCCTTCCAAGTTCGAATAGTTTTGCGGAGTAATTTAGTGGTCGGATCAGCGATCTTGCCATATATGGGATCGACCTGTGCAGACAGCATTTTGTTTGTTGAATACACTACTTGTGTGGGTGACAGCCATCCGATGATCTTATTTAGTGTGACCTTAGTTATATGAAAACCTAGATAGGGTACTTTCATGATTGGGGCCTCGAAGGTGGTAAACATGTGACCATAATGCTTATCATCAATTTCTAACACCTATTCAGTTTGAAATCATCAATTTCTAACACTTATTCAATCGGCTCTAGTTTCAAATATCCATACTCCTGCCCAACCTAGAGTCCCTAACTCCTAACATATCAAAAGATTTGGTGAACATTGATCCTAGAAGATATATCATGATTAATATTTTCATGAATGCAATCATGAAATGCATTGCACTAGAAATGAAGAACCATATGCCATTCTCAGAATGCCTAACATGTCATCTTCAGTGTAGGGATTCAAACTGCAGGTTCCAACTTGAGAAGATGTATGATTGCCCATGTTAAAAGTGGGGAGGCTGATGGATATCCGAAAACTGAGGATTTGGTGGACGAAGAAACTCTGCTGTCAAATTTAGACAGAGCCATCAAGGAAGAAGATTATGCCCGTGCAGCAAAGATCCGGGATGATCTGCGTATCCTCCACGAGGATGCTAAAGCTTCGCTCCTTGCAGCAAATGCACGGTTCTACAATGCCTTCAAGAATGGAGATATCGCTGCAATGTATTCTATCTGGGCTAAGGGTGACCATGTATATGTTATACATCCTGCTGCAGGTCGGATATCCAGTTATGATGTGGTCATGCAAAGCTGGGAGATGGTTTGCAATGCCGATTATGAGTTTCCACTGAATATTGATCTCAAGAATATAGAGGTTCACATCCGTGGTAGCCTTGGTTATGTCACGTGCTTGGAAGTGGTGAAGACCAAAGGAAGAACTTGGGGAAAGCAAATCGCCACCAACATTTTTGAGAAGGTTGATGGCACATGGCTGATGTGTGTGCACCATGCTTCACACATTGAAGAATGAAACGCACGCACACTTGGTGAGGAATGAAGTGCGTACACACTTGACGGCCTGGGATGGAAATTTTGTCAGGGAGACCACCATGTACAATTCTGAGAAATTTTTGTAGTTTCTGTTTTCAATGTGAATTTTGTTGTTGATGCCTTATTTTTCATAGTTACTGGCATATTTTGCCTGATGCCCGGATGGACCATGATTGAGTTCACTGGCTGTTTTCAATCATCTGATATTCTGATGACAATGGCTACGGATTTGGCTTGCAAGAGACGCGGTCCACCATATCCAGTCTACTTAATGAATTTGTAGCCAATTTGTCGTGCTTCTTGTGAATCGTGGAGTAAGTTTTGATGATGACGAGAACCGTAGTCAGAAGTTTTTGGTGACACTTTTTTGATTGAAGTCATAATCTACCAGATTGAGCGTGCTGAAGTTTTTTACTGGCGACTTTGATATTCCTCTGTGGCAGTTAAACTTGTTTATGATATCTTGTGACTGGTGTTATCTTGCTGGCTGTTACCTCGAGAAATCTTGGCACCAGGGACGGTATTGGTTCAATCTGGACGAGTTGCCTTGATTATGCGCTTAGATGTGTGCAACACCGTTCAAGTTTGAGTGACTCATATTTTAATGATTTTGTATTAACAAATGACTCCTGTACGCATCATGTTATCCTAGAACATTTTGCCGAGGAGAATAGGTCATCATCAAGGGGCAGAAAGGAATTACCGGAACAAATAAAGGGCCGAAACGATCTACTAAAGCCTGAACCCGAGGGGCATCAACTCCCACTCTTTCTGCGCCCCTTCGCTCCGCTCCTTCCTCTCCAAGAAAAAGGAAGCGCGGCGAGCAACAACCTCCGCCGCCGTGCACCTACGCCCACGGAACGGACCACGCCGTCATATGAGTGGAGAACCCCGGGCCTCCCCCTCGGCGAGCTCGGTAGGACGAAACTAGAGCGGCAGCAACATCGACGGTGTCGGTGAGGAGGGGGCGATGATGCTCCCGCTGGTGAAGCTCGGCTCGCTCGCGTTCCGGACGCTGAGCAAGCCCATCGCGGCCCGCCTCAAGTACAACGCCGGCATCCACCCCAAGTTCCGCGGTCTCATCATCGGCCTCGCGCAGGTGATCGACGCTCCATCTCGTCTGGCATATTTTTTCGTACTGCAATCTGTGCGCCGATGCTTGGTTTCATTTCGATTTGCCATGGAGAAATTCCTCCTTGCAGTTCGTTTTTCTGTAAGTTGCAAGTTGAGGCTGCTTGAACGCTTGATCGTTTTTAGTCAGTACGGCTTCGATGATGCAGCGGGCGTTCCGAGATTCTTGATATTTTTAGCGTTCCATAATGTTCGTGGAATGATTTGGCTTATTGCGTTTGATCTGATGAGAAATGTCTGCGAAATGGATTTCTACAATGTGAAATGCTGTCAGGGATTCAGAATTTTGTCCCTATGTGGGACGATATACTGCATTGATCCAAATTGTTAGTGATATATAATGAATTTATTATAGTATTGATCAATTATTTGGGGTCGACAAGTTTCTGAAGTCCGTTCTACTTGTTTTTTTTTTCTGAATGTTCATACCAATAGGAATACCCTAGTTGTGAGGACATTTCAGAATGATGCCTTAGGGATCAGTTTAGGCTTGAATCTGTGTTTTGCCTGTCAGGTAACGATAGGCCCAATTTATTCACCCATACTTTGGAAGCATCATCAATGATACAATCCTCACCAGAACACACACAAAAAGAAGTCCACAATAGTCCTTGTAAAATACTTCTGCAATGTTGATGATGTGGGCACATTGTCTGATGGAGGAAATGGCGTCTTGGATATAGAAATGTTGTTCAGCTCTTCTGAGTAAAATTTTCACAATGAGTTTTGCATTGTACAACTGAAAATGCAGCAGGTTAATAGCATTGCTCTGTTATCCTATTGCTGTCATGGCTATTTTCTTCGCATCTTACTGTATTGCTCTCTTACTGTAAACTGAATAGGTTCTGGTTCTGAATAGCAAACATGGAATCACACTGCTCTGCACCATACATTATGGGACAGCTGTAACTGACACATTTTATGGTATACAATTCCAGGCAAACCATCGTTTCACGACAAATATGCAGAGGCGAGTTTACGGACGTGCGACTGACATTCACATTCGGCCCCTGAATGAGGAGAAAGCTATTCAAGCTGCTGCAGATCTTCTTGGGGAACTATTTGTTTTCTCGGCAAGTACTCTTGACTTGCATTGTTCTGAATATCAATGGTCTTTTTTTTAATGTAAAATGAATAGAAAAAGGATTAACGACGTTTCCTTTTCATGTATGATGAGAAACAAAATCCGATCATTCTAGAATATATTTTATTACATTTCACATCAGACCCTAGAAATGACTCGAGCTGACGTGGACTCACATAATTTCTTAGGTTGCTGGTGCTGCAATTATCTATGAGGTGCAAAGAAGTGCCAGGTCAGAAGCCAGAAAAGAGGAAGTCCGTAGTCAGGAAATTGAGGTAAGATGACTGCCTCCAACTTTTCTCTAGGAATCATTAGTTCAATTGTTAATGAAAACATGACATTGGCACATTGCCAGGATATCTCTTGAACACAAATGCAAGGCAGAATACAAATTTGATCTTAAAAATTGCTTCTGGTTCCTCTGTTCTTGATGGCAATTATATTATGTGGTACATCTTCTCAAGCCTCTTCCATCATAATTAATTATTCATGTCCAAATGACAGGCGATAAAGAAAAGGGAGGAGCAACTAGCCCAGGAAGTACAGCTCATGAAACAGAAGATTAGCGAGATGGAGCGGCAGTACTCGAAGTGGACTCTTCCGGGGTTTCGCGGCTTCGGCACTGCCCAGGCCGGTGCCCAGGCTGCGGCACAGCCTGCTGGTACTCAGCAGCCAACAGCTGCGTAATTGCTCTACTTCTGCAACTGTCGATAGCTCGCGGTCTGAACGGCCGACTGCACACTGCCTCTGTTTCCCTTGCATTTACTCAGTTACATAATTGATTGACTGAAGTTACTGGCGGAAGGTTGAAGGTTACGTTGTGGATAATGAATAGTACTCGAGAGGAATTTGAACCCAATCGAAGTTGTCGACGTGACATTCAGTTTAAAGTTTTGACATGCCCAGGAAAAAAATCTTGGAGCTAAGATGATGTACCCTATCTGCATCTCGTGTCCAGCCTCCAGCATATGCTTTGCTCTGCTTTACTGACTTCCCTTTTACTCCATTAGGATTCAAAAAAGTGAAACATTCTAAATTTCTATCATTAATTAGTCAAAATGTGTGTCTAGCGCGCAAGAGATGCATCAATAAATCTGTATTTCAGGTCTTTCCGTAAGACATTGATCTTGCATTAACCGATAATAGTACTACTAAATTGTAAAAGGTATCGATGGTCTGAGCATAGCTTGAGAGACTACTCAAATCCAAGGCTTATAAAAATAAATGAAGCTCTAAAGGTGAACGAGTAGGTCAACGCTCATGGAATGAAATCTGTGGCGTCATGGCGCTTTGATATGCAGAACAGCAGGAGCGTGTTGAAAATGCACCAAGAAGCATCAAGTATCTCGATGCAAGTATAGATGCACTGTGACAGAAGAATTTCATCAGCAAAATCTTGCTCGTATCTGATATGATTATTTACCGCATTTCTACTGAAACGGAATGATAAACTGGAACCTGACATCAGCAGAGGGATTCAGTTTTTTTTCAAAAAAAGAAAAAAAATACTATCCTGATTTACAAACACACAGCCCTTCAGTTAACGATGGACAAAATCTCAATAACATTAATCGAATTCTAGAACCACCTTGCCAGGAACCAACCTTTTCTCCTTGGCCGCATGAGCTTCTCTTACATGGCTGATGGGAAAGGTCTTCTCCACAGGTATCTGTAATTTCCCAGCTCCAGATAGCCTTTGGATCTCATGAAGCCCTTCGGCATCAGCTCTCATGTATGTCCACCAATACTCTGAAATTATTTGGATAGAGATATCAGAACATCTTTTATAAAATGCAATATGTAGCAGTAGCCAGTAAGCTACATAGCCAAATTTGCTTCTGTATAAGATATTACATTCCTAAACTTTGTGCCACCTATTGAGCAATACTCCAACAGAACTTTATACGAGATACATAAAATGCATACACAATTCCATTTCCTGGCTTGTTTTTTTTTTTTTTTTTTTTGAAATATCTAGATCCAACTGGTTCCGATGCAGAAAACTACACCAATGGCCACCACAGATATTCTCCGTGTCCAGTTACTGGGTTCAAAACTTTAAAAAACAATGACAGTTCACTGCTATGAACTTTCTGTATGCACTATTGTATATGCAAATGGAACCCATTATCCAGTAAGTTTTGATGCATTGATTACAACAAATATGCTACAGAAGGTTGCTTTCAAATACTACACTAGCCAGCAGTGGAGTAGTATTCTTTCTTGGAAGTACTTAGTATTTGAGAAAGAACTCTGCTAAAGTCTGGATAGGTTTTGTTAAGATACACTCAACAATTTGGGATATTAGACATAAGCTTCTAGCAAAAAACAGCTTTGTCTTGGGCCATTTGGTGACCAACAGCAATGTGTCCATTCACTAAAGTTGTGGTCCTATAAGGTATAGGACCAGAAGAATTGATACGCACATACAAACTAATGCATGTATACAAATATACTGGAAATAGAAGCCTTTTACCTATTCCATGAGAATAGCGATACTGCATCTGTTTCTTCAGTAAAGCAGCAGTAGCAGCAGGAAGCCCTACAGCCAATCCATACCTATCTGCTAGTGCAGCTGCTTCACCCTATCACATTGCACGACACTATGATAAGAAAAGATTGGTCAAAGACAAAAGAAGCACAAAAAGAGCCAAAATGCAGATTGATCACCTGAAGGGTCATATAGTGTCCACCTCTCCTAAGAACACTGATGCCAATTCTTTCAGTCTCAGGTACTCCTATGGTGTCTAAAATAGCATCAAACTTTCCTTTAACTGCTGCTTCAGTATCCTGTAAGGTAGGTTGTAAATAGAAGCAATGTTTTTAAGGCGGTAAGGCGAGGCGTGGCGAGTGACTACCGCCTTACACTTAGGCGACTAAAGCGTGAGGCGAGGCGACGCCTTATGAATTTTAAAAAAATTAAAACAGAAACTCAGAGCAGTAGATGATGAAGAAAAAAGAAAATGAAAAAAGAAAAAGAAAGGAGGAGTAAGAAGTGGGCTGGCCTAGCCCACCAGGCGCCCATGTGCCCGTCCCTCCAGGCATGGCTTATCCCAAACCCTCCACCGCTGCTCCTCTCGTTCTCTACTCTCCGCCACTCTCGTTCCGCCTACGCCTCCCTCTCCATAGCTGCTCCACCCTCTCTTTCTCCGGATGCGCCTCTGCTCCCCTCTCTCTCCGGCGCTGTTGCTCTGCTCCCTCCTCGCTACTCCCTTCCAGATCTACAGCCGCTGCCGTCCCCTTCCAGATCGAGCATATGGTGGCGGAATGGAGCTAGAGGAAGGCAACAGGAAGACGGAATCGAGGCAGAGGACGGCTTGGAGGCGGCGGAATCGAGCAGAGGACAGCGAGGAGGCGGCGGAATCGAGCGGAATCGGCGAGGAGATTGTATGGAATCGAGGAGCATCAGCTTGAGCATAAATGCGACAAGCAGCGCCTTCACGCCTAAAGGCGAGCTGGGCGCCTCGACGCTAAAGCGTCAATTTCAGCGACCATAGTAGGCGGCGTCTTGCAATAAAAAAAGACGGTGCTCAAGGCAAGGGGAATTTCTTGAGGGGAAAAAATGCAATACAGATGAGGATAATTACTAGCCATTTATCCAATAGTAGAAGCTGGCACAAAATTCTAGTCCGGAAGAATAAGCGAAGATTTAGGTGTCTTCTATTTTTTTTTGGGGTGGTGTGGTGGTGGTGGGTGGGGACCTTCAGTTACAAGCTTGCTCCATACATATAGTTATGCAATTCAAGCCAGCACACAAAATTAAGAGCATCCGTGGCATCCCCCGTACAAGTGCATATATACTGGGTTTTCATATTAATACATGGATAAGACTAATGGATGGGAGCATTCCCTATAAGTCTATATGTCCTGGATTTTCATCTCTATACATGAGAGAAAAAATACATTAGACCTAAGGGGGGAAAAACAGATTAAGTGTCCGCGAGAATCTCACAGACCTGCGAGTATAATATTACAGGTTTGTCATGCAAATGGGAGGATCAACAAAGAACAACAATTCAAAGCATGAAGCAGCTGTCCAGCTTCATAGAGGAAAGTGGCAAAAGAACTAGCCAGAGTTTCCTTCTACTCCATGAAGAATAATATAGCTTCAGCAATAAAGAAGGCCATGAAGATCACATGTAGTGTATTGAGTATCATACAACAATCACATGATCACTAATATAGAATACAGCATTTTCTATACTTCTGTGAAGGTATACAAAGAATACCGCTCACATCTGCAGCAAGGTTTCACAAGACAACAACTGCAAACAAAGGTTAGGCAGCTTGTGTGCGCTGTTGCATGACAAACTAATCTCTCAAGATACAATGTTATTACTTTATTAAAAGATTGTATAAGGACAAGAGCACCAAAGGCTACTTACCTCAGCAGTGTAATCAATAGCTTGTTCAGCACCAGCTCCTGTAACTCGCTCAATACTTTGGGTCCCACAGGTAGCAGAAACCCCACACCCAGCAGCCACTGCAAGTTGAACAGCAGCTAACCCAACCGCTCCTCCTCCACCAATCACAAGAACTCTTTGTCTGTAATTACAATAAATGGCATTAAGCTCAATAAACAAAAAAGAATTCAATAAGCTTCCAATCAATCAGTAGCCTTACGCAGCTAATGACAAGCAAGAATGCATGTAAGCGTATGCAGTAGCCTGACTAACACATTGGTATTCAGATTAACCACAACCAGTAGCATTTGCAGCTAATGATAAGCAAGCATGTATGTAAGCATGCGCAGTTCACCTGACTAACAGATTGGTTTTCAGATTAACCACAGAAGTCAGTTAGGCATACAGTAGAAGACAAAGAAAGAGAAGTGTGGCGCAGTACATTACTATGATAAACCCACAATTATGCAAATTTCAACAGTATGGAACATTAACTTTTGCCAGTGCCCAAATCCTATGTTTCTTGTCTGTGCGCTGCATAAGCACACTATGAGGACTCACATCATTACGGGAAAAAAAGGGGAAGACCATGAAACTAAAAGTCACGGACCTATACAACATAAAAATAAATTAGAGTAACTGATTGTATGCAACATCAACTAAAGCAGCAGAAGCAACTGACTATCTGCCTATCAAATGGTGTATGTAATCAGACATACCCTTCAGAAATTCGAGCCGTACAATGTAAAGCACGCCATGCAGTCAAAGCAGCAAACGGGATTGCACTAGCCTCCTGCGATATAACAGTCTCAATTCAATTTCAGAAAATCACCATAAGTTGTAAGGTGCCTATCACATGCAAGTAAGACTAAATTTCAAAACGTCTGAGTCTTCAGTCATGACGAAAACAGGTATGATACTTCCCATTAATAAACAATGAACATGAATGACATTTTGGAACGTCCATTTCTCAGATCATAAGTCATGTCTCACTTATAGCTCTAGTTCCCTCCTTCAGCACAAAATCTGAAGTACATCCTTGGAATAAATCAAGACGTATTGTGTGCAAGAGAAAACAGGGTCTCCCAAGTTCAGATTAGGTAATAGTACCGTACTTGGCCTACAGAATCATCCATAATAACAGATGGAAATTGATCCTAACATTATATTTCTTAAAAAGACTACTAGCACGGAAAGAAGAAAACAATTTAATGACACCTACCACATGACTGATTGTAGATGGTTTGAGAGTAAGCTCGTCCAGTGACAGGATAGCATAGTCAGCATATGTCCCTCTGAGAGCAGTTGGATGCAACGAACCAAACACTTCTTGACCAATAGAAAATGACGCCGCCGAAGTCCCTGTGGCTGCAACTTCGCCGCTAATGTCCCGACCAATGATCAACGGTAGGAGTGGCTCGAATATGGAGCGCCCATAGCCAGATCGCATCTAAAAACAAGCAACTTTAAGCATGCAGATCACAATGACAAACAGACTAACATGATCCTAAGGATTTTTCATCACTCTAATAACACAGAAAAATACAAATTCTGTATGTACCAAAATTTACTAAACCATCAATCTTTTTTCCTCATTCATGTGCCTGGGTAGCACAATCTATCATGATATATTTCCCAATAAGTTGATAACACAATATTACTCATTTGGGGATAAAAAATTATGAAATATCGCCCTCTGTTATAATGCGTGGTCTTTCAAAGGACAGCGTTCAATATTGTAAAGAGTAAATCACAGTGCATAGGGAAGCATTGCAAGATAATTCGTCACTCTAGTTTTGCAGCGCCTAAACCAATCTGAATCCCCAAAATCCGAAGATTTTCATAAGACGCTTCCGTTTAAATCCAATGGAGGAAGGGGCATGGGTCCAAAATGGGGAGCTCACTCGCAGGTCCAGGGGGTTGATAGAGACAGCACGTGCGCGCACGAGCACCTCCCGCGGCTTCAGATCGGGCACGGGCACGCCCTGCCTGACCTCCAGCACCTCCGGACCACCGAAACGCGGCACCACCACGGCGCGGCAGCTCTTCTCCGCCCCCGCCGCCGCGGTGGACGCGGGCCGCGCCCCGGCGACCCGCCGGCGGGCCCTCACCGCCCTCCACCACATCGCGCGGTAGCCTCGTCCCCACAGAACGCTCGGCTGCGCCTGCGACTCGCGAGCCGGGAGGCGGTGATGGCTGGCTCGGCGACGCCCTTCGAGACCGGAGGCGAGGGAGAGTGTGAGAAGGGGTTAAGTATATCGGTTTATGTCACAATGACATGTGGGGACAGGGTGAGTGGGGGCTCAACGTGTCCTCGAGCGAGCAGACGTGGCTCGAGCAGGGTGCGACCGTGCGAAGTGTCGCTGCGCGCCTGCGCCTGGCAGCGAGCGGGCGAGATGGGAGCGATGTGTCCTGGTTCTCAGCCAGGAGCGGTGTCGAGGTAAGGAGAGATCTCGTCCGTCCATTAACCCACAGTCCATGGAATCGGTAGAGCGGGAGCTATGACCAGACGGCCGTTTTGGTACAGCTCCATGAGCCGCTCCTGGCTCATGGAGCCAGACGGCTTTGCCTTGAGTATGGGTTCGATTGATTCTGCATTAGTCTGTGTATCTACTATTTAGACTTGTGTATTGTAATTTGTACATATTGGTTATGTACGGAAGATCTTATGCAATCTTGTACAATGCACTTCACTCATCCAAACATATCTAATATACGGCAGTATTTTGGCATGCCCTGATTTCGCTATGGCCAAGTTTTGGCTTGGCCAGTGCATATGTACTTCACTCATTTACATTTTACGTAGTTTTATGCTTGTTTTGCTTGTGGGGTTATCAATCACAAAAGATTATAAGTATCATATGCACATGATATATCTTTTTACTTTTATTCATTGAGATAATAACACGAGTCTAGAACTAATGTCGGTGTTTCGAACAAACACCAACTAGTAAATTTATATTTGTTGCGCGTTAGGCTCGGATGGTGTACTAAAGGACACAAGGTTTATACTGGTTATGACAGAATGTCCCTACGTCCAGTTTGCTGCTGCTCGTGTTATTAGTACCAAAAAAAGGTTCATAGTAGGGGTACAAACGGTCGAGAGAGGGACATGTCTCAAGTCTCCAATGGAAGTGTCGAAAGGATGCCAAGAGCTCGGTTGCTGTTTGGGCGTGTGTTGTGTGATATGTTGTGTATGAAATCGATCCGTCCCCTTAGTGGGGTGTCCTGTCCTCCCTTTTATAGACCAAAGGGGGAGCAGGGGTTACAGATGGGAGAAAGATGAAAAAACCAAAGGTACAGAAGGTCATTCGAAGGTGCCGGGTCTTTCTTTTCCCTTGAGCTCGCCTCATTGCGATATGGCGGACCATGTCGAGATAGCATGTTTCACGATCCCGATAGGGCCAGAGCTTCGGGCTCCTCGCTTCTTTCAAGATGAGTGGTCACGTCCCATCCTCCCCCGGCGAACGATGCGGTGTGTCAGGGTGCCGAGCCGTGACTCTACGGGGAGTAGACGGGGAAGTGACTATACGCCTGTTATTGTTGATGACGTGAGTTCCCTCTTGGATTGTAGTGGTTGTCGTATGCTCATGTTAGGATCCGCGCCCGAGGGCTGATAGCGGCGCCCACAACAGTGTAAGACCAAAGTCGGCGCCTACAATACTGTTCGGGCTTTGCCATGCCTGGAAGGGCTTAACGTGCCCGTCCCGTCGTATCCTGATGGTACTTTTCTGCAGACGTGCAGGGTATGGTCCTCGGTACTGCGGTTGACTCAAATGTCCTGTCTTACCTCGTGCTCGTCATCATGAAGGAGCAGGGCGTGGTTGTCAGGCGAGATGGAGCCTGCCCTTAGCCGTCGGGCGAAGGCAAAACCAGCTCTCAGCCGTCGGGCGAGGGGGAGCCAGCCCTCAGCCGTCGGGCGAGGCGGAGCCAGCCCTCGGGGGTCGGGCGAGGCGGAACCGATCTTCCGTTGTTCTGGCAAGAAGTGTAGTAGCATTCTTGTCTGACCAGAAGCATCAACGTTCGATGGTTATTAGCTCCACCTCATTGGGTACCCCGGTATTAGGTCCCTGACAACTAACATGTGTGTTGAATATGTGTTAGACATGCTATAATAGGTCCCATGGATGTAAGGACAAAGTTTGATCTAAGACCTGAATTGAAACGGAGAAGAGTGGCGAAGATTCCCTAGAAATTCACTAATCAAGCACATCAGTGTTTTCTCTGGCCAATTTATTGGACTCATGTCCAAAAGAAAATCAAAGCAACAACCATACCTAGGTCCTTGATCTAATCCATCGAGGCCACACCTAAGTTCCTCTATTAGTCGCAGATGAACTTGTGATCCTAGGGTCTAGCACGTTCGCACCCTACTCTCATGGAGGCACACCTTGATACACTTCCATTCATCTTTCGTGCCCCCGCTTGGAACTGCACCAAGACCAAATTCATACCGCTCGTCGCTGCACGCTCCATGAAATTGCACCTGAGGCTCATCATCGAGCATGAAAAAGTTGACGTCATGGACTAAACCAATCTTGGACCCATGTGCGTGGATTTCAGACCGGAGGGCTAGGACGAGCTCGGGCCCTGCCTTGGTGGTAGCGGATGTGCACCTTAGGGGCAAGGATGCGACTTCGTTGTCATCCATAGTCACACATGCTACACCGCCACTTGCTTTCGTCAACAAGTTGTCACCTTGTTTATCGCTGCATCATGGATGTTTTTGTGACGTATGGAAAATAGTGGACGACATATGGTGTTGAATCACTTGTCATGAATTAGGTTGAGAACCAAAGGATATTTCAGTGCATTTGCATGGTTTCTCTCAACATAGAATTGACTAGTTTATTTTAACGCCAATATCCAGTAGCAAATAGGCATAAAAGGAGGAATGTTCTGGCAAAGTCACGATTAAAGGATATTCTACAACAAATTTACCCTCTCGTGTTAGTGTTTGATGTGCGGTATTGCTTAGTACTAGTAGGCCTCCCACGTGTTACCACGGTGCTACTACCGTTCAGGGGACAACGTGGCGTTGCTACTGCTGTGGAACAATGCGTTTGCTATTCTATTAACAGCGGAATAGTAAATGTCGTATGTACTTCTACCTACAACTATATTAATCTTTATATATACCTGTATTTTACACCTTCAAAGGTGTTCTTGTAAATATTAGTAATAGATTGTAGTTTAATTAAAAGAAACTTAGTGCCCAAGAAATTCAACCCACGGGCCATGGTAAGAACCTTTTGGAGATCCACCAAGGAGGGGCATTATTTTTCTTTTGAGGCAAGGGAGGGGCTTTTCAATAAGCTGACAAGGTGGAGGAGAATCTTTATCGACTGGAGAGAACGTGTAAACACACGAAGATGGCTATCACGAGACGAAAGTCTCCGACTCTCCCGTCTCCCACTGTTATTGGACGACGCTTTCGGCCTTGACGAGCCAGTCCGATGCGGCGATGCCTATAATCCGCATGCTGGGCCCCGGCGTCGCCCGCCTCGTTTTGTCGCGGCCGTCGCTTTTCCTAAGGCCGCCGACCCCGACCCAACAAAGTGGCAGCCAGAAAACTCGGCAGAGCATCTCGCTTGCGAAACAGAGGACGGCGCGCGAGGGGGAAAGGAAAACAACCACGACCCCATCCATTCCATCCCACTTCCACCCGAGCTCACCGATCGCAGCGGCGATGGGGAAGGGGCCGTCGTCGCGGGCAGGGTCGCGGCACCAGCAGTTCCGCGCCCGCGCCATGAGCCGCGTCGATGACCTACAGGAGGTATTCTCGGGCCTGCAGTCCGCGCGCAAGGACTCACGCCCCGCCGACGCCGCCGTCCTCGAGGCGCAGCTCCAGCAGATGCTGCGCGAGTGGCGCTCCGAGCTCAGCGCTCCCTCCCCGGCCTCCTCCCTCCAGGTACCGTCCCTCTTGCTTCCTCCGCACATTCCACCTCCATCTTTTTGGTGGCGCGGCTGATGTTTTGTTCGTTGGCTGTGGCTGACGGCAGGGCAACGCCAGGGAACTGTCGGATCCGCCTTCGGATACTCTTCGTCTGCTGCAGTTGGCGGCGGCCGAGGAGGAGGACGACGCCACGAGCAAGATGGTCGAACAGCAGCCCCCTCCTCCGCCCCCAGCTAACCAGAACCAGGGGCACGCGCAGGTCCGCCAGGACATGAAGCCGGAGCCACGCGAGGAAGCAGTTGACGTCGCTGTGGAGCAGCCGCAGCCGCAGCTGCCGAGTCAGGGGTTCTGCCTAATGGTGCTGCTACCGCGTCTGCGGTGTTCCATGATCAGGTTTTCATTACTCCTTGTTTGCTGTATGCAAGTTTGAACATTTTTTCTTATCTTAGTGGAATGACTGGCAGACAGAGTTATCGATCTTGTGAAGAAGATTTATAGTCCGCAGATACGAGGATTTGTGGATGAGTGTGATCATGTGTCACTCGTAGAGTCTTCAAATGATCTAGTTAGATTTGTCTAGTCTGGACAGATGTTCATGTGGTCTGCCTCATTGTTTAGTTTGGGTTGGTGTGATCTACAAGCAACCTACCCCTCATTAGAACTTTTGTTGGCAGTTTCTGCGTCTTTGGGGACAAATTTACTGGACATAGCCTATGCTCTCTGTTTTCAAGACAAAATGGGAAGGTTTCTCCTGTTCTCCAACATGATGACAATGGGAAACAAAAGTTATTTGAGTTTTGGATGGAGGTTTTCTGTGGATTGCATATTGATCCAAATCTTTTTCAATAAATTAACCAAAGGTTATTCGTGAGAAATGTTCAAGTCTGTCTGTGGTGTATCATTGCAATCACTTCATGGAGGCTTGTTCTACCTAGGCTCCTGTGAATGCTACTGTGTTTTGGTTTGGATCTTATACAGATGGAGTTCAACTTCAAGTTGATGGGGCCATTCGTTCTTATCAATTGATTCATTGTAGAGTAGAAGTTTATGGCTATAAATCCGTGCTTTCCATCCCACTATGAACAACATGCAGCTCCAAGAGCTACATAATTTCACCTACTCCTCCTTTAGCCAATCTATGCTTGTTTAGTTACTTTTCCCCCAGTAGTCAACATCTATTGACCCCTACTCAGTCTTATGGAGTTTTTTTTAGATAATCAGTCTTACGGAGTTGGTTTTGAAATTCTTTTAGAACCTATAACAGAACATCCATCTATCTAATCTATGCTACGAGGCCTTTTAAACACTCTTTTGATATCAAACTTGACTGCAACCTAAAGAAAGCAGACAAAGATGTAATGTAATACGTTCAATGAACTATGGTCTATGAAAATATAATAATATATAATATATAATAATGTATTGATAGCTTTAAGCCTTTTGAACATCTAAAGACGGAGACTATAGAAGAGGAAAAGTTGACCATTTCAAAGTGAGAGCTGTCAGTTTGGGTGGTTGGTTTCACTTGCTTTGCTACCTTGCTTACATCCTTCACACTGTATACACCTTGTTTCTTAGCTTTGCGATGTGTGGCTGCAAGCTCAATCTAATTGTGTGGGCCTAGTTAGATTGTCGAAACTTAAGCTGTATGGGAACAAAATAGCGGAAGTACAGTGCTACAGTGAGGAAAATTGAGGAAAGGATGCACTGCTGCTGAATTCATCATGATCCTTTGTCATGTTAAAACTCGAGAGAATATTTTGGAGAGTGATCTAGTGATCTATGCACATGATAAATTGTGGGACATGTCATGTTTTCAGTTGACATTTGTTTTTGGATTTCGTAGAAGCCTAGAAGCGTAGCTTATAAAGCTTGAAAGGGACTAACCCTGTGAATTTAATACCAGTAAAGGGGCAGAGTGCAAGCCTGCTAAGTAAGAGCAAAGCATGTGTATTTTACCACCATCATTAGATTAGATTAAAGAAGTAAACGCCCAGGGGAAGGCAAGCAGCTGTTCACCTCTTGTGCTGGAGCTCTTTATCTCTTGTGGTAGGAATGCATACCTTTGTTAGTAGAAAATTTTGATCTGAATAATTTGAGCATACTCTGTTTATTTTGTGCTTTGTGGGGTCTCACCTATGATTGCCTGTAGTAATGCCGGCTGGACTTGGGGGTTATACACAATGAGGACCTCTTGAGGGCTGTGAGGTTGACAAAGAACTTGAGAACCTGACATGGTTGGGGTAATTTTTTTCGACCAAACTAGATTGGCTAAGCCTAAGCCAGTGGCTGTAGTAGCCAGGATGATGACAGGCCCAGGGTAAAATTGGAATTGAGTAGTGCTTTTCCTTGAAATATCTTCCCTTTTTATAATTTTTCTAACTGATATTTGTCAGAGTTCTCAAGTCACTAGCAGAGCATGTTTGCATGATTTTACTAAGCCACAACAATTTATTAGTGTAATACTATTTAGCCTACTAATTAATGAAAGGTGGTAGAGGCCTACTTTTTTTCCCCATTGAACATTTTCTATATAATGAGTTGATCAAGTATATTAGTGATTCTTAATGCTGACACAAGTATAGAAAGCTTTACGGTTTCTAGAGAACTTGAACTATAGGATAAATATATTTGAGCTTACAGTTTCATTGTTTTAGGCAAGAGATCAATAGTAACAAGTGTATGCAGCATGCAATGGATTTTGGAAATGGCAGCGGTCAATGTATTTCTATTGTCTTTTTAGAAGAAAACAACATCCTTCTGCTTTCCAGTGGTGTACAAGGATGTTTTGCTCTGTCTCGGTAGGTTAGTATGGCGCCCATTTAATTTTCCACTTCCTGTTGTTTATGCACCTCCTTAGCATTTAAGTACTACTCCCTCCGTTCCAAATTGTAAGTTGTTCTTGCTTTTCGTACATAGCTTTTACTAATATAATTTACATCTAGGTGTGTAGGAAAATCTATGTACCTAAAAAAGCCGGAACGACTTACAATTTGGGGCAGAGGGAGTAATTCTTTAGTCCTAGATATTGCAACATTTAGATGCTATATGTACTGCTTTATAGTAATTCTAGCATGCATGTAATTGGCATATTCAGTGACTTTACCTTTCTGCCAACTCCCAAAAAAAAAAAATTTGAAGTTCAGTGGAGTTGTGCCAATTTTAACAAGTTCTCATCTTACTTCTTGCAGATGTACTATGTGAACCAGGAACTTACGGTTGAGGATTTTCTTTATGATGAAGATTACAAGATAGACCTTTCTGGGTCTAATCTGGATATCCTTAATAATCTGGAAGGGATTGTTCAGCTGGAATATCCACAGTTCAATTTGCCGCAAGAGATAGCCCCTAATGCATACCTTGACATGAGTAACAGTGGACAGAGTGCTGGGGGTGTTTTCCTGCACATGACAGATTTGCTCACAACAATGACTTCAGCACCTTCTGCATTCCTGAAGCCAAAATGCGCTCTCTGGGACTGCCCCAGGCCTGCTATTGGATCAGAAAGATGGCATGATTATTGCAGCATGTATCATGCTGATTTGGCTGTGCAGGAAGAGGGCCCTCCAGGCACAATGCCTGTGATCCGTCCAAGAGGCATTGATCTGAAAGATGGCCCCCTGTTTGCTGCTCTTAGTGCAAAAATCCAAGGAAAAAATGTTGGGATCCCTATCTGTGAAGGAGCTGCCACTGCAAAGTCTCCGTGGAACGCACCTGGTAAGCTTTTCCTTCATGACTTGCGCCTTCACATGGTACTGATGAACGTTTTTACTAATCGTTAGCCATTCTGTATCATTGCAGAACTTTTCGATCTTTACATCTTTGAAGGTGAATGTATCAGAGAATGGTTGTTTTTTGACAAACCAAGGAGGGCATTTGATAGTGGAAATCGGAAGCAGCGGTCCTTGCCAGATTACAGCGGCCGTGGTTGGCATGAATCTAGGAAGCAGGTGATGAAGGACTTTGGGGGTCTGAAGAGGTCCTATTACATGGATCCACAGCCATCCAACAGCTATGAATGGCACCTCTATGAATATGAGATCACTGAGTGTGATGCTTTTGCCTTATATCGGCTTGAATTCAAGTCGTCAGATGCAAAGAAGATTGCTAAATCAAAATTAGCTTGTAATCCACTGAATGAAATTCAGCAGCAAATGGTTAGACTCAGTGCAGACAGTCCTGTAGACACCAAACGGACAGCCCGGAGCAGGACAAAGGCTAATCCGATAGATGCCAATACTAACATCTATTCAGTTCCAAACACCACAGTTCAAGCTAATGTTCCAAATGCTTATCAGCCAGGGTCACAAGTGGACCAGATGACATATTTGAACGGTAGTGTCGTTTATGGGCCGCATCTACCGTATGGTTACTCGACTGAAAGAAGTGACTTTTATTGGAACTCAAATGATGGGACATGAGAAGATAAACACATATTCGATTTATGGCATATTTGGCCCTCAAGTTCTAACAGTTCCCTCTATGATTATTGGGTCTACTTTATTAGCATGACCCACCATCTTCTTTTGTTAATTGTAATTGGCTCAATCTACAGGAAACATCTGTGAAACATTGTCGTCGTAAACTTGTAATATAGGCGTATCATGAAAATAGCATCTCCCGATGTGCAGCTGTATGTAAGATAAATCTCTGGTTTGGTGGACGAGTAACCTGTCAGGTTGGTGACTCCATTTATCTGTCACGTTGTATGTCCATCAATATCCTGATCTGAATCTGGGTGCAATCTGTATCCTCAAACTCCAATTGCGCTCTTGAAAACTCCTGGTGGTATTTTGCAGTTGCAGGTTCGTGAGTTGTTTTTGACATGTCGGGTAACAAAAGCCGATAAGAGAGAAGTCGCTATATGATAATCACTGAATGAATGAATGAATACTTTTGTTTTGAATGCTGCCATGTGCCATGCTGGAGCAGCTGATGCCAAACTTTCGAATAGTTTTGTTCTGATTGCTGCTGTGGCTGATGCCAAACTGGTGAATTGTGGATAGAGAATAGTTTTGCTTTTTATTGGTTAGTGACTGATGCCAAAATGGATTGTAGGCCCAGTGAATAGAGATGGCACAGAGCCATCACGAGTTCGTTATGGACATATGGTCCCAGCTGTCTCGCTCTGAAATAGAAGTTATTCTTCCATGTCCATCTCCTGACGAGGCCCTAAGATTCGGGTGAGATCATTACGGAGTCTGCCTGGATAGAGAAATATACCATTGCCAGATGGGTCATGGTCATGATTATGGATGCTCGTAAAAGAAGTGGTGGGGTGCTTTATCATTTCAAGCAACGACAGGCCCGATCATCTAACTGCACCATGGGAGTATCAAATACTCCCTTCGTTTCAATTTCTAAGACGTTTTGACTTTTCTAGATTTATTGATTTTGCAATGCATCTAGGCACAATGTATATCTAAGTGCATAACAAAAATTACTAGAAAAGCCAAAATGTCTTATAATTTGGAATAAAAGGAGTAAAAGAAATTCGGAGCACTTATCTTGGGGAAGTCATCGGTTGGCTTACCTGTTTGTTATGTTCGCTCTACTCACTGCAATGGGTCTTGGACTCTTGTATCACTCGTTTTCCGGTTTGCTCTACGAGTTCAGGGATCAGTCTGCAGCAGAATAAAAAGGCACCGATGTTTTCCTGAACGATTAGGAGAAAACATTGTGATGTATACCCACGAGCAGTGTACTAGTCGGCTAATCACATTTACCTTTAGAGTCTCTTTAGAAGACAAGATTCATGAAGCATAATTAATAATATAAAAGACGTAGGAATAAAATACTCTAATATCTCATAGTTTTATGGATTAAAAAAACATAGAGAACTGCAAGATCGACCGTTTGGATGGAGACCACAAAGAATATAGGAATTCGATGCAAGAGTGACAAAGAAACTTTTTATGAAACAATTCATTCCATAGGAATCTCGTAGAATTTGCAGGAACAATCCTTTATTCCAAAGGGTTTTATAGGACATTTTCTTATATGATTCCGGTCCTTACCTTTATTGTTTTTCTTGATTCAAAAGGGCTTAAAATGCATGGGCATGATTCGTCTTTTTTTGTGTTTGTGCAATTCACTTTCATGATTGGATCTACCCAGCTATCAACTCCTTCCTTTTAATTTACTCCTTCCACCCAAACAGAGAAAAGTCAATTATATAAACTTTGACCAATAACTATTCAAATTATTTACAGGTTTAGAACACAAAATTTGTATCAATGGATTTGTATTAAAGTGCCTCCGAGATTATATTGATTTTTTTTAGCAAATGACAATATATAATAAGAGAAACTAACGGTCAAAATATATTTTATTTTGACTGTTTCCATGATCAAAATACGCTTCAAAGAATGAACATCTTCTGTTGGTGGTATGACTCCTCTCAACTCTAATGCTTCCCCTCCTCTGCCTAGGGTGATCTATTCAAGCGTAGGGTCAAATTGGATTTGGACTCAAGTTAGTTGACCTGAGTAGGAGGATGGTGCATATTGAAATGAACAGTCCACTAACTCACTTCGCCATTCACTCTTAGTCACTGCTTCGCTACGTGCTCCATATGGGTGTGTAAATCTTTTGCTAAAACATGTCATGAGCATCATGGTTATGTGTTAATGCATGTGATATAGTATGTAAATCAATTTTTGTAACTTGAAACGAGTCATCGGAAACGCGAAACGAAAGCTACATTTCATAGTCAAGTTATATCACCTAGGGTTTTAAATCAATTTTTATTATGCGAAAACACTATAGAACGTGTATACGGAACTTTAATAAAGTTTGTAGTACAAAGCTTGTAGATGACAATGAAATACTTGCGGTCATGAAAGGAATTCACTAGCTAGCATACTTAATAGCTTGGAAATCGGATTTGACGCGAACCCGATCAAGACTTAGTCGATTTCGTAAGTTTGAAAAGGGTTTGACGAGACCAAGTTTGGCAATTTTGGTAGGAGAATTGGAGTAATTAGTGGTATGGTTTCATGGCTGGTTTTGATAGCCTAACATGCCCTCTCGAGTATAGAATAGGTGGTTTAGCAATTGAAGCATCGAATTGAGTTTTTGGGACGCTTTAAAAAGCGTGCACATCACGTTTTGGGTCGAGGTCCTCACGTGGACGTGGTCACCGTGCCTCGACACTCGGCGTTGCCACGCCGGCTGCCCGAGCATGCGCGCACGCATGCACACGCACCACCGCGCCGCCCTGGCCGCTCCGCCCTGCGGTGTCCTTGCCGTTGCCGTCGTGGGCCAGTCGCTCTGGCCGATCCGTCTGCCGCCTAGACGCCCACTTGTGTTGTCACTGCCGCGCCGTGGACCGCCGCCATCCGTCCACCGTCTTTGCCTCGTGCCATCCATCATCGCGCGCCACAAAGACGCGCGCATGTTTCATTCTACGCCATTATCGTCGCCAGGGCGACACATACAAGACGCAGCACGCTGCACTTTTACGTCGCCGCCGCTTTCTCGCTTCGGCGTCCGTGTCCCGCCGAGGCGACACAGCGCCGCTGCTGGCCTCGAACTGCGTCGCACGTGGAGCTACCGGCCCCTCATCTTGTCCTCGTGTGTTAAATGGCTTCGCGACGCGTCGTGCCGTCTCGTCCCTGCATCTCTCACGCGCACTGCTGCGGCTGCCTGGGACGGCAGGCGGGACCGAGCTGCGCCCGAGTCAAATTCACCGCGTGTGGTCACTACCTGAGCAATTACTCGCACCAAAGTGCCGGGTGTTGGAGCCTCTGCTACGCGCTTCGGCCACCTCCGGCCTTCAATTGAGCCTGGTCGTGCTTCAATTGGCCGTTTCCCCCTCCGCCGTGCCATTAAGGCCAGAACCGGCCGCGACCGTGGACAACTACCCGCCGCACCACCTCTCGCCAATTCGCCTCCACCATGAGTTCCGCCTTGATCCCTCCATCTCGTGCGCACCCCCACTTCCACCGTCACTGCCCTCCCGGCACCGCGGACCCGATCGCGCCACCACCGCCATCGTGGAGCTTGCTGTGCGCATGTGGTCGGACACACCCGATCCGTCCTCGACCAAACCTCCACCACAGCCACCACCAGGGTATGCTAGTGGTGCTTTAGGGTTAGTTATAGCTCATTGCAGTGACTTAGAGTGGCCGGGGTGGTCGTAGGTGCTGTTTGGCTATCTCGGTAGCGTCGGCTAGGGTAGGCCGTGAGTTCCGCTGTCCCGGTAGCGTCGGCTAGGGTAGGCTCTTGGGTCGTAGGTGCTATTTGGCTTGCTAGCTTGGGCGGGGAGAGGCTAGGTTGGCCGGCGTGACCACCCTTGTAACACCCTCGGTGTTACATTGTACAGCTTTTCGCTAACACACTGCATAAGAATCATATTTGTGTATACATGTTGGTATTATAAGGTATAATGCAATTTTCAAAACTTGAAGCGTTCATTTGAAACAGGAAATGAGATTACATTTCATGCCGCATGGTGTTACTTAAGGTTCTTAATGATTTTTTATTGAACGAAAATGCTATAGGACGCATATGCAAACTTTAATAAAGTTGATAGTATAAACTTTATAGGTGACGGTGAAATACTTGCGGTCGGAAATGGGGTTCGCTAGCTAGTGTGTCAAGTAGCTTGGGAAAGGAACACAACGCGGAATCGTTCGAAGTTTAAGTCATTTCACGTAAGTTTGAAAATGGGTCGACGAAGCCATGTTCGGAAATTTTTGTAGAGCGATCGGGTTAAGAAGTGGCGAGATGTTTTGGCATGATTGGCTAGCCCTAGGTACCCTTTTGTGTGTAGAACAACTGGTTTGGCATTTGGAGCATTCGGGTTTGAGTTTTGGGCCGCTTTAAAAAGCATGCAGGTCACCTATCTATGAACGATGCCGGCGCTGGCCGCGGTCACCCTGCTCGGCTCTCGGTGTTGCTGCGCCAGCACTCGTCGTCGCCGCGCCTGCTGCCCTGCGAGCGCTCCATGCGTGGACCACTGCACCGGCCGTCCTCACCACTGGCACCGCCCTACGGACTACGCCGCGCTGCTGCCTTGGCACGCCGCGCAAGCTCGCTCTCGTGCCCTGCCACGCGGTCCCGCATCGTCGTGCTGCGCTGCACCGCCGTCGCACCCGCACGCACCGCCCATGCGCATGGTCGCGCTGGCTGCCGCTAAGGTCCCTCGCTGCTTTGCGCTTCGCACGCGCGCGCACACACGCCGCCATCGAACCGGTGGACCTCGCTGCTCGCCCCATTGCCGCGTCCACTTGCGCTGTTTCGGTGTCACCGCCGTTAGCGCGCGCTCATGAGCACCACCTGCGCGTCACTATTGGTGTTGACACAGTGCAGCTGCACGCTTGTGGGACGGCTACCTATTTCGCCAGCACGCCCATGTCCGCTGCCACATTTTGTCGCTACCTTCCCGGCCTTGCCATCCTCTGCGGCGATCAGTGCC